AGAAATTTACTTCATGTTTGAAATTGAGGTAGCTCAATCTGAAACAAGGGTGTTACACTTGAATAAGATAATTTGAGAAGGTAGGAGGTATAAATGAGATAAGAGGGAATATATTGGCATGGATTAAATATCAGCTAACAGGCAGAAAACAGAGTAGGAAACAGATCATTCTCATGTTGACAGGCTGTGATCAGTGGGGTACTGCAAGGATCAATACAGTTCACAATATATCAATGATTTTGACGTGGGGACCAAATGGAATACTTCCAACTTTTTGTGGATTATACAAAGCTACATGGGAATACATGGAGAGGAGGATGTGAAGTAGTTTCAGGAGCATTTGGAGAGACTTAGTGAGTGGGAAGAACATGGCAAACGGAATAATGTGGAAAAATGTGAGATTATCCACTTTGGAAAGAGGAACGGATATGCGGAAAATATGTAAAATGTAAGAGGTTGGAAAATGTAAAAGTATAAAAGGATCTAGGTATCCTGGTCAATAAGCCACCAAAGGTACAAAATGTTTTGAAGAAGGCTACTGGCATGGTGGTCTTTATCACAAGAGGATTTAAATACAGTAGTAGTGAATTCTTGTTTCAATTGTACAGGGGCTTGGTCATATTGCAACTGGGGTTCTGTATGGTGTTTTGTCTCCTTACCTCAAAAGATATTATTGCCATAGAGACAGAGTGCAATGTAGGTTCACCAGACTTGCTCCCAGGATGGCACGACTGTCCTATGAAGCAGGATTGGACACACTGGGCCTGTATTCCCTGAGTTTCAAGGTATGAGAGGTGATCTCATTGAAACCTATAAAATACTTAAAGAGATAGACAGGGTAGATATAGGTAAGATGTTTCTCCTGGTTGGAGAGCCTAGGGGGCACAATTTAAAAATATGGAAGATGCCATTTAGAACTGAAATGAGGAGAAATTATTCTATTCAAAGAGTTGTGATTGTTTTGAATTCTCTTCTCCAAAGGACTGTGGATGCTCATTCTTTGATTATTTTTAAAGTAGAGATTGATAGACTTCTGATTATTAGTAGCATAAAGAGTCATGTGGATAATGCAGATAAAAGGAATTGAAGTATTTTACCAGCCATGATCATTTTAAACATACTGAATAGCCTATTACTGTTTCAATGTTTCTAACTGAATAGCTCTTTTAAAGAGCCAGTGAAACATAACGGGTCAAATTATCTCCATCTATGCTAAACATGTCTGGGACAAAACACAAGCCGTAAAACTGAGACCTGTTTCTTGACCTAAACAGGGAAAAATAATTTGCTGTTATTTGTTCAGAATTGACTTACAAAGTGTGATCACCACAAATTCCTGTACAGAAAAAAAAAATGCATCTAAGTACAATTGAAGATGGACAGAAATCAGAGGAAGGAGCGGGTGTTCATTTAACACTCCTATCTCATAGGGCGTTTTGCACTCAACAAGACACTGCCATTTCAGGGACAAGATACAAAATGTATTTAAAAGCTGGAACTTTCTTCCCAAAATGTAGATGGGCATCAACTAAAATTTGCAAAGCATTGATCAAAGGATTTTTATTAGTAAGGGTATTATGGGAAATGAAGGTGCAGCTTATCCCTGATTTTGGTGGCTGTGCCTTCAGCTCTCTAGGCCCAAAGCTCTGGAATTCCCTCCTTAAACTCTTCTGATGCTTTAATCTCTCCCCTCCTTTAAGCTGCTTTTTAATCAACCCTTAACCAACCTTTTGATCAACTGTTCTAGTATCATCTGGTTTGGCTCAGTATCAAAATTTATTTGGTCACCCTCCTGTGAAGCACCTTGTGATACTTTATTATGTTAAAGAACAAGTTGTCGTTGTTGTGAAGGTACATCAGTCATGATCTAATTGAACAGGCTGAAGGCTCTGAGAGACCTTAGCCTGGCCATCACACCTGCATATTGTCAAAATCTCTCTCTTTATCATCAATGTCTATATTGAAATCTCAGAGATCAAATGTGACAGGATACAGCCCACTATGCTGTTTGCTCAGTTCCAGTTCTGTGTCTTAGTCGCCACCTTAAATATAGCACATCCCAATTTAAATTATTTCAACTTCTCATCAGCCAGGTTAGAGTTGTTACTCTTGACAGGCTAGCAAATATTACCAAACCACAGACTTAAGTTAATGGCTATTATAAATACAATTGAACAGAACCCTTAAACCCAGGGTACAGAAATAGACTCTGCACTGAAACCATGTTCAACTTGGCTCTTGATGAAGACATCAATGGCTCCAAATGCAGAATCAAAAGCAGAATCTCCAAATTACAAATTTTTTAGCTAACCTACACAAATTCCCATTCACTGATCCACAACTGGAAACAATCCAAGAAGGTATATCAACTCCAAAGTGGATTAAGTTTTGCTGGGAGCTGAAACCCGATATCCTCTCTGCAAGGAAAAATAACAGCAAGACAAGTCATCTTACAGTGCATTGTTACATTGCTAGCCCGCTATTTGTCCTCTACCTTTCTGTTATCCTTCTCAATAAATGCTGGCCCTGTAGCAACGCAAACAATGTTAATCTGTCCAGTGTTGTTGGCAATTGAGATCTGATCTACCAGAAATACTTATTAGAAAATATAGACACAAAATACAGTTGGAAACACATTGACAATTTCCCAGTGTGAGCTCTTCGAGATGCAATATACTGCTGAGACCAATTATTGAGTTAGTCCTTTCATGTCCTTTCGACTGCACATTACTGCTTAATGAACACAAGAATAACGGAATGCCATTCAGCCCCTCCAGCCTGTTTCTTCGTACAATTAAATTATGGCAGATCAGAATCTTAACTTAATTTGCCCATCTTGGCATCTTAACCATTCATACTCTCACTTAAACATTATCCAACAACATCAATACTGATATTTTCACTTGGTTTACAACCATTTCATCCTTCTACAGTCCTCGACAGCTCTTTCAGAGAGTGAGTTTCAGATTTCCACTCCCCCTAGTGTGAAGAATCGTTTCCAGATATCATTCCTGAACAGCTTAACTCTAATTTGAAGGTTATGCCCTTGCTCTGGACTCACCAGATACACAGTTTATTTTGATCTAACCTATCAACTCCTTTCATCACCTTAAGCACAGCCACTAAATCACACTTTAATCTTCTCCTCAAGAGAATACAAGCCTCATCTATGAAAGTTGCCCTCATAATTTAAAATTCTCAGTTCCAGTATCATTGCGATGAATCTGCACTCATTTCATTGCCATGTTCCTGACTGTACTGAGGGATTGTTGCATTGCTGCACTATCAAAGGGTCAGTAGTGTGGAAGCTGTGCTCTGTCACAGAGTCAGTACCAAGGAAGAGTCACACTGTCAGCACAGGGAGAGTGCCAGATTGGCCAAGGGTCAGCACAGCGAGAGGGCCACACTGTCCAAGGGTCAGCACAGCGAGAGTGCCACATTGGCCAAGGGTCAACACAGCGAGAATGCCACATTGGCCAAGGGTCAGCACAGCGAGAGTGCCACATTGGCCA